ATCAGAACAAGAGCCGTAATTTAAGACATCACAATAGTGTCCTATCAGCTGAACAAAATAATATAGAAGTGGATTTATGCAAAGAAATATAAAGAAACATAGACAGTTGGATTTTATGCATATTTTCCGTCAATCTTCGGAAACTCCCGGGAATGATGTCATAGATGATAAAAGATAAGTCGAATTTATCCTGGGTTAATCTGATTCGATTTGGTCTAAAAAAACCCATTTATCCTGTATCAAATCAAATTTGATTATGGTAATCAGCGCATTTATTGTAGCAGCGAATCAAATCGATATACGTTAATCGAGTAAATCAACTTTGCAGCGTCGTAGCTCTGTTAACTTCCGCTTTAGTAATCGCGTCCAACATGTCAAAACCATTACGTGCAAGGTAATTTCTTCCTGCCTTGCCACCATCTTGGAAACTATAAATAGTATAATGTTCATTTATCCTGCGCCAAACCAACGACTACCATTCGACTACCAATCAACAAGAAATACCATGATCAGAACGAGTTTGGAAGAATGAAGGAGACCGAGTAACTCACGCCACACCATCCAGGGCCGAGTTTCACCGCCATGTCATTTAACCCGACCAGATCTAACGAAGAATCAACAACCAAACCAACAACACCGAATCATCCAATTTGATCCAATCCAACTACCAAGACTACCAACAACTACCTAGTTTGCGATATCAGCATCCGCTGGAAGCGAACGTTAACTTGTCATCTACCTACCTACCTTTATCCTGCAGTATAAATCAGATTCGATTTGCGACGTCATTCTGATTTGGGTAATCGAATCAGATTTAAGTGCGTAAAAATGCCTATAGACTCTGCCATGTCTTCTTACACGTAATCAAAATAGACTTTCAGCAGAGACCTTTTCTGTTGTGTAAAATAATCGTATCGAATGGCGTTCGTTTTACGAACGTCCTGCTTTGTTTTCGTAATTTTGGGACTTTGCTTTTCACAGTTTGTTATCATATTGTGAATTCTTTTTATTTTTTGCAGAAGCAGAGTACCAGTTTGTTATCGTAATGTCAATTCTTTACACACACCTTCCTGTGTTTAGTTCACATTAGTTGCAGCAACCATTCTACAGAGTTAGACGACGATGTGCATAAATATAAAATGGAACTTTTTTGCAAAACCGGAAGTGCCACAGTTCAATATGTGCAAAAATAAAAAAATTCCAAAATTCGAAAATTTTTTTTTTTTTTTTTTGCCAAATTTGGCATTTTTTTTCAACTTCTTCTGTCCGATTAATCGGGTTTTTTTATAGCAAAGATAGATTGCAGTACAGTCAAACTTTTTGCATCACTTCCAGTTTACACAGGACATTGATTATTACAGTCAAACCTTTTGCATCACTTCCGGTTTACACAGGACATTGATTTTAACTTGCGGTTCAATAACTTCCGGTGTAATTTGTATAGGTAAAAAAAAATATGCTGATTCGTAGACGAAGTAATGACTAAAAAAGGAGAAAAAAAACCTGACCAGACGTGAAACTTTGGCTGCCATTTTGATTTTTCTGAAATGATCGGTCATTGAACGGCGTCTTCAGGGTGATTTTGGTCTATAATATCACGTTTAAACGCAGTAGAAATATTTTAGGTATATATGATAAAACCGAAATATTGTGAAACATAATAATAATTTTTATTTGTTAAATTTTTGTTCAAAACATGCTTTACACATTTGATATAACAGTTACCATCTGTTGGTACGTAACAATTTTACCTTGATATTCATTTATCTTTTTAAGTAGTTCAGTTCCTCTACCACCATTATTTTGATCTTTTTTTCTTTCAAATCGTCTTTACGTAAAATTATTTTCCCCGTAAAATACCAATACGTATGTTCGATGCTATTAATATTTTTAGTATATACTTTTAATTAAGTATATTTTTTTTTCACTTTTATTGATGATATTTCCATATCAAATTTATCTAACAATATTCATTGAATTCTTCCCATTCTTCAACTGTTATGTTCTTCTTGATCTTTCGAAAAAAATATTAAAATTATTAAGAGAGGCATTTAAGATTTCTGTTTTCTTTTTATAATAAGATGTATAACCTAAAGTAATCAATCCACAAGATGATGTTTGAACAGCAGTGAATGCAGCTAATATAGTTGGAACAATTACTGGAAGCATTAATCCACCAGTTAAAGTTGTTGCCACTATTACTCCTACTGTTAGATTTCGGGAAAGGGAGGGTTTGATTCAGGCCTAGGGTGGAGCAGACACTTTATTTAGAAATCAGAATTAAGGGTCTTGATATTGGGTTTTTCTTCTGTTCTGATTCTGATCTGAAATTAGAAAAGTATAGTATCTGTTATGTACTGATTGTTTTTAGTTTACTATGAACAATATTATCATTTAAGTTCTTATTTTTATTGAATATGCAACTATCATTTTCTACTTATAGACATGGGGGAATTTCTCTTGAAGGCTCTTATAGTTGGCATGAACTATCTTGCTTGCTCGATTGCTGGTTGTATTAAACGGGACAACAAAGGGTGCTATGCCTACATTATGATGAATATTAAGTCCTATAGGTCTTGCTGTATTCAATGTCTCAATCCAATGGGCTTCCCTAGATTGACGGAATTTGGTAGTTTCATCTTCGGGCAAGTCAATTTCTATACGCTCAATTGGGATTAGGGCGAGATCGTCTATTGAATGGTCGTCGAGGTTGAAATGATTAGAAACAGGCTTGTCTTTCTTTAATTTGATGTCTGACCTATGAGCATTAAAACGAGTTCGTAACTTATTCTTAGTTTCTGCTACATTTTGTTTGGGGCATTTCTTGCATGAAATTAAATATATTACATTCGAATGTTCACATGTTAGATGTTCTTTTTATCTACCTTTTATTCGTAGAGATGCTTACAAAATAACGAGTTTCTGATATAAAGGGACATGTTTTGCATCTACTGGACTAACATGGAGCACTTCTTAAACCTGGGGGTACTTCGGCATAAAGCCCGTTTTTAGCTTCTATCTGTGCTAAGGTGGAATTTTTTATGTTTCGTACAAATCGTTTAGAGTACCCACGCTCTTTCAGTTTTCAGAAAATAATCGTACAGACTTGGTTGAAATCAGAAGATCTTGTGCAAATTCGATGAAATCGTAAAACTTGTGACTTAATTATACCAGAAAAGGTGTGTTTTGGGTGAAAGGAGCTCTTGTGCAAGAGTTGATGAGTATCAGTTTCTTTGAAATACACTTTAATATCCAGTTTATTTGTTTCTGCTATGGAATCTCCCTTAAAGACAGTGGTATCGAGAAAGTCTATGCTTTTGTCACTCACGTTTGCGGTTAGTTTGATAGTCCAAACCATAAAAATGTCATCCAAAAAGCGTCCGTAAAAAAGTGGGTCAAATGGACAGAGGGGTAACACCTTACGTTCCTACTCTACCATGGTGGGAATCGTTTGCCCATAGCTGTCCCTGAAGTTTGTAAATATGTTTTACCATTAAATGTGAAATCGTTTCGACTAAGATAAATCTCTGTAGAATTGCATCGTTGGGTCTGTTTGGATCTGAGTTTTTATTAAAAGCTTTACGAACTGCAGTTAAACCAGTAGTGTTATCGATATTGGTATACAAATATCATTAGAGGGAACTCGAAGATTTTTAATTTTATTGACAAAATGGGTTGTGTCTTTAAGGTAGGCGCGATGTTGACATGCTAGAGGTAGTAAGAAATGATCAATGTTTTATGACACTGCATACGACTCACTACCACAGTCAGATATAATCGGGCGGCTTATAGGGATTTTATTCGAGATAAACCACTCCTTGGTTGGATTCTTATGGATTTTAGGCAAAGTGTTCAAATGTCTCTCAGGTTTGGCAGACAGATAGTCATATTGTTTCTGTTTGAGATGACTGGTTTTGACTAAATCGGCAAGAATATTGTTAATCATATTAGCAGTTTCTTTGAAAATTGGTTTTGGTAAAATGGCATAATGTTTAGGATCATTCAGTTGATTTTCTGCTTCTGAAACGTAATCCTCCCTATTCAAAATGACACAACATGAACCTTTGTCACTCTTTTTAATAACAATGCTATCGTCTTTCTTTAGTAAGTTTAACGCTTCACGTTCCACTCATGTGAGATTAGGATATTTCAGGATGGATGGCGGCCTGAGGGGGTGTCTACGTGGATTTAGGAATAAACATTGTTCTAGCACCACTTGGGGGTGGTTTCGAAAAAAATATGTGCATCTAAGATTTCGTTGAAATAGTTCAACGGATGGTCGGAGATAATTTAAGTTTGGTGTCGGAATAAACTTAAGTCCACGGTCTAATATTGAATGCTGAAGGGGTGTGAGAAGTTAACTACAGTTTGGCCTAGCGGTGGCCTCTCAATATTTTTATTCCCAGTAATTAGTTTAAAGACTTACTCGATGCTTGAAGCTGGTGTATCCAAAACAAATAAATACTGTTTGCTGTTTCTAGAGACCAATGAAGATTATCAACTGGTTCGAATTCTTCTTAGGGTGGTAAGATTGTTGCGCTGTTGATACTGGACTCCATCATAATGTTGTTGAAGGTGCTGAGGTTCTGTTATGCTATCTTCGAGATTTTATTTGAGATGGGTATACATGTGAAGAAGATCTTGGAGTTTAGGATGGTTTTGTTGGCTGTAGCGATTAATTTCTGGGCTTGGTTAAAGGAGGTCATTGGTAGCTGATCACGGTTGTTGAGGCCTACATGAAGAATAACTGTAGTAGGTTTGGAATCATGGTCGTATGATTCTAGGATTGACTGTATGTGATGTATTTGGGCACCGGGGTAAGAATGTATTGGGGGGGGCGGGCACGTCTTGACTTGGATAGAGACTGAGGGGTGGTTTGCTGATCCAAAAACGCACAGAAGGAAGAAAGGTTGGCGGATCCTGTGGATCACGCGGTGAAGATTCAAATGGGGGAAGGGGAGGACGAGTCTGAAAGTGAAAAGAGAAGGGGAGTGCCCTCTCTACGAGCGTTTACCTATGTCTGCTGGAGTAGGAGTGGGTGAATTTTGGCTTTGTTTAGGGGTTTGGTTCGGTAGTGTAGTGACTCCAGATGGTGCAGGTGTAGTGTCCATTTCAGTTGGAAGAAATATGGTTACTCTGGTTTTGGTTTCGTTGATTGTCTGGTAGAATTTGGTGATTACAGCTTGAGTGAGACGTTTCCTACAGGAGCGACGGGCCCAGGACAGGCATGAGAAACGATGCGGTCGACGCCAGGTGATGATAAAGACTTGGTACGAATGGTGGCCAGCTTCTCTTGAAGTGTGGTTTGGTAATTCCTCTTTATGAGTGGGGACTGGTTGGTGTCGGTGGGCTGGTAGTCGTTTCTGTTGTTGGTCAGGTAGGTGGTTACCTCTGGATTGGTAGGCTGTATTGTAGGTAGGTCGGTGATGGGGTGGGGTATAACTGGATGGGTTGGTTGGTGATCGATGATTGGTGGGTGGTAGAGGGCGATGGAAGACAGGGCCGTTGTAGGGTACGTGATGTTGGTTTGGTTGACGATTAACGTTTCTATGTCTGGCTTCTTGCCAGTGGTTGTTGTAGTTGGGGAGCATAATGAAAATAACTTGAGGTTAGAAAGGGAATGTACAGCGAATGTAACAGGAGGAAACTATAATGCTAGCGTGAAAATGTGGGGATCAAATTATGCAAGTAAGTCAAACTGGGTTTGGGGATATATAAAGTAAGATGAAAGTTATGATGAAAAAATGCAAATATATATATTTAGGTGATAAATAACGCTAACAATGATGTGAAAAATTATAACAAGTAAAACAAAAACTTATGCAATTGACACAAACCGGTTTTCCTTTTTTTTTTTATTATCCTTTTTCATGTGTCGAGGAATGGTTACCTTCATAGGAAAATTACTTTCAATTGCAAGTTTAACCTGGAAAGTTAACAACGTTTATTTCATCAACCATTTTGATGATTAAATGGAAGATTAAAATAATATGATTCATTTTTTTTCCTTGAGATTGTTTTTCTAATATAGTTATCTTTTTTTCCTGTTTTAAAACTTCATTATTAATAGTAGTTCTCCGTTGTTGAATAACACTATCATCAATAATTTGTATTTAGTGTGGAATATAGGTTTTAATTTCACTATCATCAATATTTTCTATTTGTTGTTTAATATTGGTTAGTTCTTTTTGTAATTCACTGTTAAATTTAGTTTCTAGAGTAGTTAATTCCTGTTGTAATGTATCTTCATTTATACCTGGTTTAATGTAATTGTTTAAAATCTAATTTTTGGTTTCCAATCTGATCGTCTAATTTAAGATATCGATCAATCTTGTTGTAGTTTAGAATCATCAATATAATCTAATTCTTTCAGTTTAGTTTCATCAATAAAAATCTTATTATTTAGTCGGCGTTTTAAGAATATTTTCACTTCAATTATTTTAACTTTTAAATGCTCCACATCTACTTCTACTTTTAGATAAAGACTTAGCTTGGCCTAGATGTCCTCCAGTAACAGAATCATTAGTTTGTTGGGGACAAATTCTCTCAATTTATAAGGTAGGATAATCAGAAATTTCTCTGTTTCTCTGCTTGAAAGCCAGATATAACATAAAATGCCGTTATGCATAGCCATGGAGTTAAATCTGTGCCAATAATATTTTGTGGTAGGGCATGTCATGGAAATTTCTTGCCAGTCAGGCCTTTTATTATTATTCGTCCAGGAGAGAACAACTTTTAATATGTGATCTTCCTGTTGGGAGATTCTGATATTCTCTTCCCAGTTATCACTTTCATTATTTTATATATTTTCAGGGCAAGTGAATCTACTTTTAGATAAAGACTTAGCTTGGCCTAGATGTCCTCCAGTAACAATCATTAGTTTGTTGGAGACAAATTCTCTCAATTTATAAGGTAGGATAATCAGAAATTTCTCTGTTTCTCTGCTTGAAAGCCATATATAACATAAAATGACGTTATGCATAGCCATGGAGTTAAATCTGTGCCAATAATATTTTGTGGTAGGGCATGTCATGGAAATTTCAAGAAAAAAAAACATAAGTGATAAATATATACATTCTTCAGAAAGTGATTAAACCCACAAAATTAGATCCACTAGTTATTATAATGGATACAGAAACAAAACTTAATTCAGCTGTATGTAGCTGAAACATTTCTACATTTATCTAGGAAAAAATGAATATGAAGTGAAAGTAGACAATGCCAATATGTGTATGTTTTTCAATTGAGTTGAGATAGGCATTTGATCATTCAGTATCATAGTCATTGAAATATGGTCAGTTTCATAGGAATGTCATGTCCATAATCATAACTGACCATTGTGAGTCAGTGCCCATCATACATGATTGATAAATTTAGTCTATAGAACTACAGAAAAGTTGGATTACAGTTGGATTACATTAACTCAAAATTATAAATGCAAAGCATTCACTAATAAATCTAAACATAAATGGGATAGATTAAACAATCAGATACATAAGGATAACATAAACATAAAGAAAATAATACATTTAGATATCCCAGCAGTTACTAAAAAATTGACCATTATCCCTATTTAGTGCTGGTTTATGTCTTTTAATTTCTAGTGCTTCTCTAATTGATCTTTGTTTCCATTTGGTTAAATTAGTAGCTATCATTGGTTCAGCCCATTTTATTTGAGGTGATGAATTCTTGGTAATATGTTCTGCAATTGCTGACTTTTCGTGTTCCCTTTTTCTGGTAGCTGTCTGGTGTTCTTTTATTCTGACTGATAACGGTCTTGATGTCTCGCCTATGTAACTTTTTTTGCAGCTGCAGTCAATTTGGTATACAACACCTTTTGGATCTGGGGTGGGTTTATCTTGTCGTCCGTCTGATTTTAGTAAATTCTCAAGGGTTTTACCACTACGGAAGGTTACCATCGATGCCAGTTTCTCTAGTAATTAACCGTTTAATTTGATAGCTGAGTGGGCCGATGGTATGGTAATATCAAATAATTACAGGTAAACTTTAATATAATATTTATGATTCTTATTTCTAATAGAATATCAAATAATTACAGGTAAGTTTCACTTTAATATAATATTTATGATTCATATTTCTAACAGAAATACAAACTATTATACTAACACTGTTACCTGTATGGTAATATCAAATAATTACAGGTAAACTTCACTTTAATATAATATTTATGATTCATATTTCCAATAGAAAAACAAACTAATACACTAACACTGTTACCTGTATGGTAATATCAAATATTTACAGGTAAGTTTCACTTTAATATTATATTTATGATTCATATTTCCAATAGAAATACAAACTAATATACTAACACTGTTACCTGTATGGTAATATCAGATAATTACAGGTAAGCTTCACTTTAAAATAATATTCATGATTCTTATTTCTAATAGAATATCAAATATTTACAGGTAAGTTTCACTTTAATATAATATTTATGATTCTTATTTCTAATAGAATATCAAATAATTACAGGTAAGTTTCACTTTAATATAATATTTATGATTCATATTTCTAACAGAAATACAAACTATTATACTAACACTGTTTCCTGTATGGTAATATCAAATAATTACAAGTAAGCTTCACTTTAATATAATATTTATGATTCATATTTCTAACAGAAATACAAACTAATATACTAACACTGTTACCTGTATGGTAATATCAGATAATTACAGGTAAGCTTCACTTTAATACAAAATTTATGATTCACATTTCCAATAGAAGTACAAACTAGAACTGTTCTAATAACAGTACTGATGCAGGGCGGGTTACGACATTCAGGTACATACGAAGATGGTCTATTGCAATTACTTTATGTAAATACTTTTCTGCATCTCTAAATGCAAATATCCAAAAGTGCCTGGAGTTTAAAGTATATTTACTAGGAATAAAAGAATATTTGTCAATTAATTAAGAATAAGTTTGATGAAATCCGGATAAGAAATAAGAAAGTTGGTAATGCGCATGCGCTCAACAAAAATTCAATATTTCCATCAAATTTAGAATTGAATTATACACATACATACCAATTTTGGTGAAATTCGGATAAAAAATAAGAAAGTCGGTAATGCGCACGCGCACAACAAAAATTCAATATTTCCATCAAATTTAGAATTGGATTATTCACATACATACCAAGTTTTATGAAAATCGGAAAAGAAATAAGAAAGTTGGCAATGCGCATGCGCACTACTCAAATTTGATAATTCCATGAAATTTAGAATTTGATTATACACATACATACCAAGTTTGATGAAAATCGGATAATAAATAAGAAAAATTATAAATTTCCATCAAATTTAGAATTGGATTATACACATTGTAGGGTTCAAAACGAACTTTGC